GTCGAGGCAGGAATGGGACATATTGTTCTCCACGGAGCCATGTACAAACACACAGCTGCCTACGCACACAGGCCCGACACCTCTCTGCACCCATTGCCCCGTCCTTGATAAACACATACACACCGGCAGCCTCCACACGGTCACAGACTCAGCTCCTCTCCCGGCACCCCTCAAGCCCTTGCCCTGGGAATTCTCACACACCTGGATACACACTCGCACGCATATGAATAGGTACAGATCTAGGCTATGTACCCACGCGTGACCTAAAATGGGTGGGGCAGGACAGCAGGTGGCGTGGAGGTTAAGGTGCTAGATCCCACATAGGCGACTGAGGTTTGAATCCTAGATCCAGTGGCTTGATACTCACATGGGGTGTGTGTGCACGCATGTCCCAAATCCCGAGAGGAGAATGGAGGAGAAGGGATTGTAGCATGGCCATCTCCCCTCAGGGGTGAGTTCCAATTTTCTCTCTCTCACTCTCTGTCTCTGTCTGCTGAGAGCACACACTCTATAGCAAAAACTAAAATAAAAGGAAAAGGGTGGGATGTCTGAAACCCTCTTTGGTCCTCTTCCTCCTCCTCTCTGCCTCCCTTCCCATCGGCCACCACAAGCCACGCTTACTTTCTCTCCACCTCCAAGGTGATTTTTCCAGTTTAAGGAGGAAAACAAGATGTCAACGAACGGAAGTTGGCTCCTACTTCTTCCCCCTGCCTCCCTCCCAAACCTTTCCCCCCAACTCCTCTGTGTATCTTCCATTTGCCCGGCACACACACACCACTGTCCATCCTCTTCCCAGCCTCCACTCCACTGGCCAAAGGAAGCATGTTTCTTGGATCTTTATCTAATGAAGATGAACAAGGGGGACGACGCATTGGCTAGATTCCATCTCAGATCTGATGGCAGGCTCGGCTGCTGGGCCCCTGGGCTGGCTGAGCACTGTGTTAGCAGCCAGGGGATTTAGGAGCATGAGGGTGGTGTCATACTCATTCATTCACTCAACAAATATTTACCCAGCACCTGCATGCCGACAGCTACTTTACATGAACAAAATCAACAAAAACCTGCCTTTGCGTAGTATACATTCTATGGGTGGAGACAGAAAATAAGTAAAATATATTGGATGTCAGAGGATGATAAAAGAAAGCAGGAAAAGAGGATGGAACGGAGGCCAGCAGGTAGCGTAGTAAGGTAGCTGGATCCCAGCTGGATCCCACATGGCCACTTGTGCAGTTTGAGTCCTCGACCCAGCAGTTTGAAAATCATGCCAGGCAAGTGTGCATGTATGCTCAAAATCCTGAGAGGAGAATGGAGGAGAAGGGATCGAGGCACGGCCATCCCCCTAAGGGGTGCTATCTCACTTTGTCTCTCTCCCCCTGGCAAGAGCATGTACCCTATAGCAAGTCTTAAAAACAGAAAAAAAGAAAAAAGGGTGAGGTGCAGGGCAAGGGTGGAGTGTGCAATTTTAAATTTGGTGCTGAGGGAAGATAACAGCTGAACAAAGACCTGAAGCAGATCAATGATCCCTGATAAGACTTGGAAGGAGATTGCTCCAGGAACAGCCCTGCGGGCTGTTATAAAACACCTCTGTATACAGCCACGAGAAAGCAGTGCTAGAAGATGAAGGCAGGAGGGGGGAGGGGGGAGGCACCTTGAAGAGGAGCTGTTCCTCTGGATCCCAGAGCTGGAGTTCATTTTGGGCTCCAGGGCCTGTGGGCTGCTAGGAGAGATGAGAGAGGCCAAATGAGGCGTGAAGCTGTGACCTCAAATGGGACGCAATGCTCCAATAAAAAGCCAGCATTTGAGATGCGGTGGAGACCGGTTCTAGAAGGAAGGCACTGAGCCTGTAGGGAGGGATTAAGAGGTGGAGAGCTTCCTCACAGAGCATGGTGGGGGCAGTGCAGCCCTAAGGGAGGTGAACCCCAAGGCTAAGCACCTCCCAAATCTAGTTTGTGCTTTCCTTGAAAAAGTTCTTCCAGGGCTGAGGGGCCTAGGGCCACTCGGAGCATCTTTGACCAGGCTCAGCAGGACTGTGGTGGAAAGCTATGCACTGCTGGGCCTCCTCCCTCTCCCAGCGGTGTCCCCCAGACTCCGCCTTTATGGCCCCACACTTCCATTTCTTTCTTTTTTTTTCCCCAAGAATTATTTTACTTAACTTTATTTATCTGTTTATTTATTTATTTCAATTTTACCAGAGAGGAACAGAAGAGAGAGAGAAAGTATGAAAGCAAGTCACCAGGTCCAGGACCCGAACCGTGGTTGCTCACGTGGGAATCCAGCACCCTCAACCACCATGCCACCTGCCGGCCCCTCCATTCTTTTTTTTTTTTTTTTTTTTTGAGAGAGGTTTTTTGCTATAGGGCGCGTGCGCTCGCCAGACAGACAGAGAGAGACAGAGAGACAGAAAGTGAGAAATCATCACCCAGAGGAGATGGCCACACCGCAATCCTTTCTCTTCCATTCTCCTCTCGGGATCTTGGGCACACACGCACATGCGCCCGGCGTGAGTTTTAAGCCACCGGGTTCGGGAGTCCAGCGACATAGCCATTACGCTAACTGCTGGTCTCCACACTTCCATTTCTTCAACACCTACTATATGCTAGCACTCATTATGCAAAGTGCTTCCCACGTAGGAGGGGGTCTTTCAAAAGTCCATAGGAAATGTGTAATATGAAAAAATCTACATGGATTTAAAAATAAATTATTTGCATCAAAAGAAACTTGTACTTTAATTCCATTTTTATTTTAGATTTATTTATTTATTTATTTTTAATTTGCCACAAGGCATATATGTTCACCAGAGACAAACAGAGAGAGTGAAAAAGTGAGAAAACAAGCCATCAGGTCTAGGATTTAAACCATGGTCATCCACGTGGGAGTCCAGGACCTTAACTATCACTCATTTTTACATGAAACTTTTGAAGTCCCCTCATATGCCTCATATAATCTCCACAACAATCCCATGAGGAGGGAATTATTAACCGTAGTTCACAGATGGGGAGCACCAGCCACATCTACCACCCCCTCCAGCTCCACTGGTGTGTTTTTGTTTTTGTTTTTAGTTTGCTGTAGGGCATATGCACTCACCAGAGACAGAGAAAGTGAGAAATCATTCCCTGCTGGGGGATGGCCATGCTGTAATCCCAGCTCATCCATTCTCGTCTCAGGATTTTGGGCATGCACACTCAGGGGCCTGGCATAGTTTTGAAGCTGCAGGGTCCAGAACACAAACCCAGTCGGCCATGTGGGATCCAGCTGCCTTAACCACCAGGCCCAGCTCCATCTCCTGCTGAGGTCTCAGGGAGGCTGGAGCCCTGGCCCTGCTCCTCCATTTAATTACAACGTAGCCTGGGGCAAGGTTCTTGTTCTTTCAGAGACCCAGTGTCATCTGGGGGACAAAATGGGGGGACCAATGCAGTAATGTCCATGTCATGGATTTCAGTGAAATCAGCCGGGAGAAGGCCGTGGTTCTAGCTTGACTATGTGTCTCCAAATCGTGAGGTATGTGGCCAATTATCTGCAGCTATACATTGTTAAATTGGAAAGTTGGCAAATGGTTTGTTTTTTCAGTATAAATATCAGTGAGTTCAATGTTTTCTCTGCCATGACATCACTCTCCCTTACTGGCATTCCACAAAGCCTTCCTGAATGGGAGATAAAGGGGTGGAGTGACAGCCAGTCCCCTGGGAACCGGTGCATAGGCTGCAGCCTGTCTTATCTGTGCCACGGCTCCTGGGAATGCAGTGAGCTAGCAAGCACATACTATCTCTCCTGTGACAGGCGGGGTGTCGGGATAAGGCTGGGAGCCACTGCGCTGATGACTACTGAGCACTGGCAGGGTGCCTGGCACATAGTAGGTGCTTCTTAGAAGAGGGAGTCACAGTGAGGCAGGGAGCAGGTTGGGGAGGATGGAAGCTCTGGTTACAAAATACATGATCTGTTATGCCTAAGCACAGCATTGTGGCTTTCTCCTTCTAAAAAAGACAGGATTGGGACCAGCAGTTAGCGTAATGGCTATGTCGCTGGACTCCCATGTAGTTGACCGCGGTTCGTGTCCCGGACCCGGTGGCTTAAACTCACGCTGGGTGTGTGTGTGTGCCCAAGATCCCGAGAGGAGAATGAAGAAGGGATTGCGGCGTGGCCATCCCTCCCGGGGGGTGATTTCTCACTTTCTATCTCTCTCGGTCTTGTCTGGCAAGCATGTGCCCTATAGCAAAAACCTCTCCAAAAAAAAAAAGACAGGATACCTTAAAGTAGAAAGGGGAGAAAGGACCAGGACAGGCTGGTGGGGTGGGATCTCCTGTGGAGGCTGGCCTGGGTCTCTCCAGCCCTCCCTGACATGATACCTGGCTGGGTCAGTAACTGTGAGTAGAACAAGCATGTCCAGTCAGGGCTGGGGCTGGAGACTTGGCCCAGAACTGATCACTGGTCCTCGACCCACCCATCCAGATAGGAGGCTCTGCTGCTGGGCCCTCCCCAGCACGCAGCTCACAGGTACTTGGGGTCAACCAATGAAGCTTACTCCCTCTAGCACCCCACTAACTCCCTTCTGCCTGTGCCAGCTGCCCAGATCCCCTCATCACTGCAACCTCCGCCCTCAGCACCACTGAGCAGTTCTGGCCAACTCTGACAAAAGACCTGTGGCCCAAAGTATCCCACCCAAAAGGCCTCTCCCGTCCTGCCAGGCCTCAAAGCTGTGCTAGCAGCTAACCCCAGCTCCTGCAGCGGCTGAGAAGCTGTCCTGGCTGCAGGGTGAGCGCGCCAAGAGCACCAGGCAGGACGTCTGCTTTAAGGGCACCGCCCACGCAGTCTGCATGCGGGCTCCAGGGCAAGGGCAACCAGCCCTTCTCAGTCTCAACCTAGCGGCCCCTAAAACGAGGTGGGCAGGAAAGTGAAGACGGGGTTGGCAGTGCACCCATTCCCCTGTTCTCTTCCCAGCACACTGCCAGGATTCCTCCCTTCCCCACTGCAGGCTCAGGGGCCCCAGACACAGCCAGAGTCCATCCAAAAAAGACTGAGATTCTTTATTCAAATCAGCAAACTCATATTCCTCAAACCCAAACTGGGGTGGGCTGCCCTCCCTCCTCCGTCCCCTCACCCCCACCCTTTAGCCACAGTGAGAGGAATGGAAAATGAGAAGTCAGGAGGGCCTCTGCCAGGGAAGGCCTCCCCATGTGTGGTGAGTGCAGTCCAGCTGTGGCTGGGGTGGCAGCTGCCCAGGCCTCCCCCTATAAATTAAGCCCCTGCAGCCACAGCTGTGGGAGAGGCATGCTTATGGGAAGGCTGGTCCAGCCTGAGGTCAAAGGTGGCACCCTTGATCCCGGCCAAGGAATGGATGGAGGAAGAAGAGCTTGGGGCAGAAGAGGCCTAGGGAAGGAGGGGAGGCATGGCAGGGGCTGGGGTCCTCCAAATTTTGGTCCCAGGGGCAAAGGAGAGGCCAGTTGGTCCAGTTTTGATGGGCGAGGGGAAAGGAATGTATTAGTAAGCACGGGGGTGCTGCCATCAGACACCCGCAGAGGTGTTCAGACGGGCTAGATCCCCACCCAGGGAGAGAGGAGTGTGGGCGCTCTGGGGGCTCTGAGGGGATGTCACTGCTAGAACATATATATATACACATATATATTAACCATTCACAGAGGGCTGGGGCAGGGCCCAGGAGGCATCAGAGGATCTGGCGTGGCATCCCGTAGCCAGTCATGCCTGCCTGGGATGCCCCGCGGTTGGTGCCCATCTGTAACCCGATCACATTCTTGCCCTCTTGCAGCTGGTTGTCTGAGAAGTTCCGAGGGTTCTCCTTGGATTTCCTGGGAGGGAAGGGAGTATGGTTAGAAGGTCAGAGGTTGCCCCAGAAAACCCCTTTCCTGGACAGAGCACGACCCTCTCATCTCTCCAAAGGGGCAGTTACCGGCTCCCAGAGAGAGCTGTGCGGACTAAGCAAGACGAGGTCTGGGACCTTGCTTTGTAAAAAGAGCTGCCTGCTATAGTGACATCAGGTATGTCCTTGGGAGAGGAACAGGCAGGGACACTGTGCCCGCCAGGCCTGGTGGCCGCCCCCAAAACACTTACTTAGGAAACCAGTTGGGATCCCCAGAGAACAGTCCGTCGTCCCGGGCTACGGCCAGCCCACCCAGGTTCATCAGCGTTCTCTGCACACAGGCCATGTTCTTCCCTAAGGAGGAGGAGGGGAATGTGTTGGACTCGGCAGGGCCGCGCTCCTGGGTGCCAGGGTTCCTCCGCTGCCACTAAGTCGTCAGGCCTGGCTTTCCAATCCTTTGCACTCCTTTCACACAATCTTTCCAAGTACAGCCACTA